CTTTCCTACGTGGCAAATTTTCCGGATTTTTTTCAATTTCATGTCCGGCAGGTAAAAAACGTAAAAAACCACTGTCGGCGACTTGAAAAAAGGCTGTCAGGTGCCGTGGCCTAGGTTTCTCACTGAAAATCCTCGTCCCCCGGCGGCACCTTTTTTTGAATTTTCTTCCTTTTCAACGCCGTTTTTCGGGGATTTCGGATTTTCTTTGAATTTTTTCGCAATAATATTTGAAAAATAGATAAATTTTAACACATTTTAATGCAAAAAAATTTTTGGTCGGAGTCCCCATTTAACCATTTGTTTTCATTAGCATATGAAGGCGCCGATTTATCTTTAAGCTTTTTGATTTCAGACTGAGCAATTTCCAATTCTAGTTATTTCTCTTCTCGATATTTCAAAATGGAATCGATCTCGTTTTTCTTCATTTCCGAGGAAATATTTCCTATGTCTTATATCTTGTCCACTGGCCGTTATACACATTTTGGAAGACTCAGACTGAAGAGTTTTCAGATTTGGGCCAGAAAAATATTGGTTGGTTTATTTTGCTAAAAATCTAGCTAAAAATCAAAAGAAAATCAGAAGAATCAGAAGAAAAATCAAGGAAGGCGCCGCAATGAAAAGGGGCGGGGCGACCACTCGGCTGTTGCCCGCAACTTTTAGGCTGGATTTAAGCGGCTTCTAAGCTGTGGCAGGGCGGATGTCGCTTTAGTTTTCTGTAGAAGCCGCCCGGCGACCGCTCTAAAGACGCCAAGCCTACTCTCAAGATTCGCGTAGCTCATACTAAATCTGACCGTAGGCTCTAAAAAAACTGAAACTTCTGTCGAAATATTTTAAAAACTTTATTTATTTTTATAAACCAATATCTAACAGAAGAAAGGAAAATAATAAACAGAATAACAAAAAAGAGAAAAAAGATTGTCTCTTAGATTTGCGTTGAATCATGATGTGGGCATGGTAGGCAGTAGTTGTCACTTGGGTGCTCTGAAAAAAAATAAGAAGATAATTGTATTGATTATATTGTCGCTTACCAATGAGATCTGTCAGATGGAAGTCGGAACATCATCACAGAAGACACGCTGGTGAGAAGTTGGGACAGAAAACTAACTGCATGTTCTTGTTCAACGCATATCGACCATCTATCTGCTTTTCGAACATCACCGATCCCTCAGATGGCATGTACTGAAGCTCTGATAGATGGAACAGATGAGTCCACGACGAGCGAGAACGATCGGGTCGATGTGGACGATGTACTTGCCGTCGGCGCCGTTCAGGATGTCCGGTTTGAAGACGTATTGGATTGATGAGCCGAAGGAGAGTCCTTCTCATGTGGATCGTTGATCACGACGAAACTGGAATTTAGAGTTTAGGTTTCGAACGATCTAGGGATTTAAAAATCCAAAGATCTAGGGATCCTTAGGATCTTTGAACAAAAAGCTCCTCCCACTTACCACGCAATCAGGTTGCTCTGTTTGACACCGTAGTGACGAGTCATATCGTAGTATTCTCGGTTACAAAACGGCATAGCGGTCTCTCGGCGCAGCGACGAGCATTGTCGTTCCGGGCGTGAGCTGTTTCATCTTCGTTGATACTCACAATCAGATGTATTACGATCTACAAGTTTCACAATTTTTCGAATCACGTTCCTATGTTTTTACCTTTTTGTAAACTTTGGATTCCAGTATCAAATTTTGCTGCCCGAATGCGTGTTGCCAACTTCCGTCTGAAAATCATCATAAATAATTTCACAAAATTATGTATTTTACGAAGTTGTCTCTTCGACCTGAAATTCGACATTCTGACAAATCCATTTATCTTCTTTTTTTTTCAGATGACCTCACTTTTATTTCGAATTCCTGACTTCAAAACCAAGTTCTGAACGTCCTATATTTGAAACCAAGTTTTTGATACTATTACCTAAAAGGTTTTTCATTTTTAGAACAGAAACGACAAAGAAAATGAGATAAATTACGCTAAAATAGGAAAAAACGGATAAACTTTGATTTCGAAAAGAAATTCTGATGCACGCAACGCGAGGCACGCGTCGCCTTTAAAATTCGCCCAAACATCGTCCAAGAATCGCCAAGGTGATGGTGGTCGGCGCAGCTGCCACAAATCTAGGAGCTTCCTGTTAAAAGCCGCCCAAATAACGCTCTAAAGCCGCACCCACTCCACACTGTTTTCGCCCTAAAGTTGCAGGCCACAACCGAGCAAATGTTCCTCCCATTTTCAGAAACCCATCTTTGAAGTCTTGTACCGGGCGTTAGAAACTCATTATTTTTTGGGTTAATACTTGTCCCAACGTAATCGACTGCGAAAAATCTAATGGAACCATCAGTTTTTTTTTTTGAGATGCCCCCAAATTTGTTGATGGATTCTGGTAGATTATGAACTGGGCGATTGGATTTTGAAATGAAATAGAATTTCTACTGTCGCCGTAAAACACAATTTTCAGCCAAAGTTCCAGCCAAAATTAGAAAAAAATTTCAGCGATGACCCCAACTTTTTTTTTGCATATTATGGCGAAACTAAGTCTTGTGTACACCTGTGTCAATTTTCAGAAAGATTGACTACTTTTAAGTAGTTTTAATACCTATCCCAAAATCCCAAACTTCCAAAATTTCCGGTTTTTGGAAGTTTTGAAGGTGAAACAGGGGGGGGGGGTGCCCCCGATTTTCTTTCCACCATAAGATTCTACGCAAAATTTGCCACTAAATACAATCCTAACTAAAAAAATCTACTGTCGCCGAAAAATGTTAGGCGTCTGTTTCCATATCATTCATAGACCAATTTCTTTAAAGGTGGGGGGACATGAAAAAAATAATGTTCTCGAAATTCCGTTCAAAGATGCCCCTCGAGGAGTTGAACTTGTGAGGGCGATGATTGAGGGTGCGGCGCCGCTACCGACTGAGCCACGCGGGCAAAGAGAAAGCGCACCCCCGATTGCATACATAAAGGCGAGGACGACGATGTACGCAGAGTGACATTAAGCGTTGTACACCGTCACGGTAGAATGCATACTCTAGCTACAAAAAAACTACGAAAAATCTCCTGTCCCCCCACCTTTAAACTTTGATGGGCCAAGAATCCCAAACACCCAGAACCATTTTTCATTTTGTCCTAAACGTCAGAAACCCACCTCAGCGGAAATTCCGCATTTCAGATCCTAAACTTAGATGCTCCTTATAGTATTATCAACTGACAAAGTTTGATGCGGTTTTTTGCTAAACCTGTCTTCCCAGAGATTTTTTTTGAATATCTGAATTTCCGAATTAAAAAAAAACGACTTTTATAAATCTCAAATTTTATCAAATTTATTACAAATGTTCCTAACATGAGGTCTAACAATCTCAATTGCCAGAGGTGTTAAATGATGACCAGTCGTAAAATAATGTAGTCCAATATCATCAAAATATCGGACAAATTGCGTTTTGGGATTCAGAAAAATGTCATGATAATCGATAATTTCACATTTCGGTCCACATTCTTTCAGAAGGATTTCATAACGTTCTCGAGCCATATTATAGCCATTTTCCAGCGGCTCAATCACTTTTTTCTGAAATTGTTTTTTGTTGAAAATCTTGGAATCCGATAATTTCGAGAACAATCCAAATAGTGGATTTCGACACGGCTTCGAGAAGTTTCACAAAGAATTTCTCGCAACAAATACATTTTAACATGGTGGCCTATCTTTTGCAAGCTAAATTTTCTGGGCCACCACGGTAAAAACGCCTAAAAAGCGTAGTAGTCCCTTTAAAGGCTCATATCTCGATAACCAAAAAAGATACCTAGTTTTTGTGAACTAATGAAATGTGTGAAATTTAATTTTACATATTTTATTTGTTTACAAAATTTGAATAGTTTTTCTAGTTTTTGAGATATGCGCCTTTAAAGAGAGTGGGCATAGGAGGCTAGGAGTCGTGGCCTCTTTAAAAGCGCAGGTAAAATGCGAACGGGTCCGTTACGGACGCTTCGCGTTCGAGCGCGGTTGAAATAGGAACAGCATACGGACCGCATGCGAACCGTTTTCAGTAAATATCAGTACATTATTCGGATTGATCCGTATCCTGTCCGTTCGCGAGTTTCGTATCCGATCCGATTGCGAATCATGACCAAACGGATTCGTTTGCGAATCAAATGTTTTATTGAGCAAACGGATCCGTTTGGTCGGAGGCTGATGAACGGGCAAAGCTTCTCCAGCCAATTATGGATTATCATGGATCAGATCCCCCGCCAGAACCCACTGCACCAAAGCTCTCCACTTCAAATGAGACCCACCGCCCCCTTTTTATATGCCATGCCGACCTAGTTCTCTCGCCGCCCGGTTAGCTCAGTCGGTAGAGCACCAGACTCTTAATCTGGTTGTCGCGGGTTCGAGCCCCGCATTGGGCTTATGTTTTTTTTCTTTTTTGCTATCTTTTGTTTGTGATTTGTGATATCTTTAATCAATTTGAAGGCTCTTCATATCATTTTTACTGTTTAAAATTGGTGTTTTTTTCTCGCTCGATCTCAAAGCAGGAAATCAGGAACAAAAATTTCGGAGATTTATCTTTGGATTAACAACCACTCCCAAAAATATCTTTTTGAAAAATATCGAAGATTTGGAAGTTTTGGCCCAAAGAATGGGAGAAAATCAGATAGAAAAATGGACGAAAGGAGAGAAAATTCGAAAATTTTCGCCTAAATTTCGTAAACTTTCAGATTTGACAGAATTCAAAACTTTAAACACCAAACTTTTCAATTTTTTTCAATAAGAAGTATTTTTTTTTTTCAAATTTGAACTTCCGATTTTCTTCTTGAATTTTCACTTTTGTTCCCTTAATTACCCAATTAATTTCCGCAATTTTTTTTTCTCAAATAAATTGAGGATTCTAGATCAACCTCGACACTTTATAATGGCTATATATAGATAATATAACAAGAATTTAGGATTTCTCAGAAATTTAGAAAAAAAAGAAATTTAAGAAATTTAGAAAAAAATATTTTTGGGAGTGGTTGTTAATCCAAAGATAAATCTCCGAAATTTTTGTTCCTGATTTCCTGCTTTGAGATCGAACGAGAAAAAAACACCAATTTTAAAAAGTAAAAATGATATGAAGAGCCTTCAAATTGATTAAAGATATCACAAATCACAAACAAAAGATAGCAAAAAAGAAAAAAAGCATAAGCCCAATGCGGGGCTCGAACCCGCGACAACCAGATTAAGAGTCTGGTGCTCTACCGACTGAGCTAACCGGGCGGCGGGAGAACGAGGTCTGCATGGCATATAACAAGGGCGCGGTGGGCGAGGAGAGAAAACGGGGAGACGGAGGAGAAAGGTAAAAACGGGTTTTCAAAGTTTAATGAGAAAAGGAAATTAAAGTTAATGGAAGTTCTTTGTGAAGAAATTTCAACAAAAATTTCATTTTTTTTGAAAAATTCAATTTTTTAAACTTTCCAAAATTCTGTCAAAAACTCAGAAATTTAAAAATTCAAAAATTCAAAAATTCAAAAATTCAAAAATTCAAAAATTCAAAAATTCAAAAATTCAAAAATTCAAAAATTCAAAAATTCAAAAATTCAAAAATTCAAAAATTCAAAAATTCAAAAATTCAAAAATTCAAAAATTCAAAAATTCAAAAATTCAAAAATTCAAAAATTCAAAAATTCAAAAATTCAAAAATTCAAAAATTCAAAAATTCGAAACTTTAAAAATTCCAAAATTTCACAAATACATATTAAAACCAAAATAATCCTTTATTCTCTCTAGAAATCTAATCAAAATGGAGTTCAGCAGTTCTCTTCGTCTCCAAATATCCTCCATGTCTTGGTCGATGATCCATTTCATCTTCTGGATGATTTTCGAATTCAGAAACTTCGACAGGAGCAATCTGTTTGGCTGGGGCCGGTTGTTTTACACTCTCAATCTCAGATTTCGATTGATTTGTGGATACTGTAGAGTCAGTGTACTTGGCAGGTTGGATCTGAAAAGAAGGGTGGTCGTCGTCGGTCATATACGCATTGCGAGTCTAAGGAGGCGTTGTCGCGCGTGGCCTAGTGGCTAGCGTTTTTGGATACCGTTCTAGAGGCCAGGGGTTCGAACCCAACCGGTGCCATTATCTTTTTTATTAGTTTTTAAACTCACATTCTTCCACTCATCATCCACCTCATCTTCCCCACTCTCATTTGAAGTGGAGAAGTTTGGTGCAGTGGGTTCTGGTGGGGGATCTGATCCATGAATTGGCTGGAGAAGCTTTGCCCGTTCATCAGCTTCGTCTTCCAACTTGGCTCTCTTCTTTTTGGCACAGAAAAAGATCCAAATGAGACACAGGAGGATGCAGAAACACCAAATGATGAAGAGTAGGATGAGGACGTAGATTAGCAAGTCAGCGTCGATTTCTTCTGAAAGTTTGTTTTGTATTTTTTTTAGTTTCTGGTTTTTCACAAACTTCTCCTTTCGAAATTTCCGGGGGCCACTACATAGTGTTCATTGGGTCCTGTCCCACTCTGTCCCTTGGACCCTGCTGCCAGTCCCATCTCATCCAAATCATCAACCGGTTCCTCATGTGCCTCATAATCCGCCACCTCGTTCCGTCGGCCTACCGTTGTAGTGTAGTTCGGGGTTACTGTAGTTGTGGTATTCACAATCAGCAGTCTGTCCATTGATCTTCTTGATGGGGTTACTGTAGTTTTGTCCTCATCTCCTCCCATTGCCCCAAAAAAGTATCCATTATCAAGAATATCAGTTGCATTTTGAGACAGGCTGGAAGTTTCTAGGGGTACTGTAGTTGTGGTATTCAGAGTCGTGGATCCAGAAGTACTTGGAGCTAACGTTGATGTTTTGAATAAATCCGGAGGTAGTACCCAATCCTCATCCCAATCTCGAGTATTATCTCCAGCAAGAATACTGCGGAGCATGTCCGAGTAGCTTTGAACCAATCTTCCAGAGTCCGTGACATGAAGAATGTTGTCGTCGGAATAGAGGGAGGGTTCTGAAATAAAAGAAAAAATTAAAAAAAAAAGGTTTTGGCAGAGGTGGGGGTCGAACTCGCGGGGTCGTGCTTCAAAAAGCGCGCGTTACCGCCTGCGCCACAGGGCCACAGGAAGAGATAGTGGTGGTAGGCTTAGAGGAAGGAACGCATTTTCAAGAGAACTCACTCGTCAAATTCACCGCCGCCTCCAAATTGGGAATCAAGAGTCGAACTGATTGAGCATTCTCTTTGGTATACTCCGCATTGATCAACATTCCATTCAAATAAAAATTCTCTTTCCTCGGGTCATCTTTAAATTGAGTCTGGAATGCCTTCACAAAGCAATTCGGTGCGTCTTTAGGGTGTTGGAACATTGGAACGATGAATTGAATATTTGGTTTGTCCAGAGCTCCAGGCGGGGATCTTCCAATGGCTTTTGTGAAACGGCTACACGGTGTGGATTCGTCTTTTCCAGAGTTACTAATTGGACGGTAGAGCTCTTCGTAGACATCTTCTTTATGGATGTATTCCGTGTGCGTGTACTGGGAAAATAAAAAAATTTTGACCACCACTAACTTTGAGCCAATTTATCTCATTTTCTGAGAAAGATATAACAAGTAGTGATTTTCAAAAGTTTTAATTTTGGGAAAAATATTTAGAAAGTGTTAATATTTCTGTTATATTTGTTGAAAAAACACGTTGCTCCCAAAAACTTAACGGTCCATCTTTTGGGAGATTTAAAACTTTTGAAATTCACTACTTGTTATATCAAAAAGTTGTCAACCAACAAAATACTTGTGATATTATGATACACATTTTGACAGTTGACCACTTTTTGATATCTTTTACATGGAATGGTATATATGGACTCAAAATATAGGCAAAAAGTCAAAAATACTTTAAAAATATTCTTTCAGAATTTTTCCCACTTTTACTAAGCAAGTTTTTACCTGATTATCCGCAAATGACATTGCCATACTCCTGATTTTCTCATCGTTTGGAAGCTCGCATACAATCGATCGAAGGAGATATTGAAGTCGGGGGAGCTAAAATACTAGATCTTTTATTTTGAACTCAATTATCTCAGTTAGTTCAAGGGATATAAAGAAGTAATCAACTAGTAAAATGTTTATCATAATATGAGCTATAATTACTCAGTTGACCACTTTTTTCTATCTCTCAAAGGAACTGAGATAGATTGTGTCCAGAGTGCCTATCGCATGAGCTACGCTGTTGTAGTCGGCACGCTTTCAGCTTAATTATCCAGCTTTCTATAAAAGATATCAAAATATAGTCAATTAATAAAATGTAGAGCGCAAAATGATAAACAGTTTGTTAATTGGCCACTTTTTGATATCTTTTGCGGGAACTGAGATAAATCAGGTCCAAGGTGCGGCGCAGCTACCGCACAAGCTTCGTGGTTGCAGCCGGCTTGCTTTAAGCTCAATTATCTTGATTCCTGTAAAAGATACCAAAAAGTTGTCAACTAATAAAAGGTTTGCCATAAAGTAAGCTATAATTATTCAGTTGAATACTTTTTGACATCTTTTATAGGAACGGAGATAATCAAGCTCAAAGCGCGCCTGCTGCAATCGCTTAGCTCAGGCGAAAGTGGCGCGGCACCTTTGCCGCGGCAGCAGATCCACTACTGCACGACTAAAACCTAGAAACACCTCTAGATAGACGCCATTCGTCTCACACAGTAAAATTATATAAAATCATACAACCAATTGTTTATTCCCGTGAATTCCAACGTGATAAATCTCTGGCTATCTTCCAATCTTCCAATCTGCCCTGACACGTCACCAGCTCCTCCCCCTCGGAAGGCTATATAAGGAAAAGACATCGACAAAGAAATCAGGATAATCACTCTCCCCAATTGCCGCTCAACTTCATTGCTCCAACAGCAGTTCCCGATGCCGGATCTCTGCAACCAACGAAGAAGGCTCCTCCATCATCCAGAAGCTTCTTGGCTCTGACAACAAGAAGGGATTATTTGAACTCTCATTTAAACTCGAATAAACTATTGGTTGATATTCCTTGTACTTAATTCTGGCACAGGGACCACCACGGAAGTGCGCAAACTTCTGAATGGAGTTCGTGGCACTGAGTTCATATCAGTCATTCAAGCGTCGTATCGCAAAATCAATGAGTTTATCACAGCTCTCACCACATCAAACAATGAGGCACTACGTCTCATGGACAAACACACAGCTCTGTCCTTTACGTCAGAGATTCGCAACCGCAATTATCTAGCTCTCTCGCAACACATTAGCGATAGAAACTATGAACCCATCGTGGAGTCTTTGGAAGACTTATTAGCAGAGATTACTCAAATCTTGCAGAATACGTCTGATCCAATTGCTCCCGCAAAGAAAACAGATAACACTCCTGTCCACTGTGAGAAAGCCAATGAGTTGATTGCGAAGCTGCCATCGCTCCACAGCATTTCGCAGTCAGGCGAAAGTGATCAAAACGAGGATCTTCCATTTGGAACCAGATCTCTCAGAGAACACAATCACTGTAAACCTGCCGATCGTGTCTGATCAAAATTACACATATCATTTATTTAGCCCAGCACACTATCTAGAAAATGTATCAATGTCCACTGCTATCTTATCAAAAAAGCACAACAGCTTAGATCCACATGATTCTTAAAACAAACACATAAACAAAGAATGAAAAGCAAATCTTTTCACAAAAACGTTTCTTTCAGAAACAAGATCACGAAGAAATGATACTGATCATTTTTTTCCACAAAATGGAGAAACAAGGTAATGAAACAAAATACAGACTGAATCATCACGAAAAAAAAACCACAACAAATTATTAACGGCAAGCCATATTTCAACATCTGAAACCAAATTTCAATGCCTGAAATAATCCGAGTTTTCTCGAGAGCGCTATATAGCATGGAACTGGGTATAGCTAATTCCCAAGAAACGATCACAGTCAGTCAGAAAGCAAGGACATTTTTTAGACCAGAGTAATTGTCAAGGCGCCCAATGATTTGAAAGACTAACTTGCTTCGATATCAGAATTTGAAACAAGTCTATATACAGTTCCTCTTGATTCACTATCCACTAATACTGTCTATTCAATAAAACGTGGCCTTTGGAAAGGCATGGAACGT